ATAGTAGGCAGATGCTTTTATCCAAAACAAAATACATTTAATTTAAAACATAGAATGCAAAGTGTTAATTATTATTATTATCATCATCATTATTGTTATTATATATTTTTATAATTATATATTTTTATATTTTTGTCTATAAATACTACATATTTATAATTATTACTAAACATATAGATTATGTGGATTTTCCTAAGTTGTCTTAAGACAAGAACACATTTTGGTTTTAGGTTTTAGGACAACTTTGATGAAAGGTTTTGATTTCAAATAATACAACAGGGTGGACAACCATTCTAGGAAAAATGGACAAACTCTTTTTTTTTATTAAATAAAAATATCGTTTTTATTACCAAATGAACAATACACTCAAATTGAGTAATCTCTTATTTAACAAAATATTAATAGGAGATTTGTTTTTGTTTTTAAATGTTATGATTTGACAATATTCTATTATAATTCAATCATTCATATCATTCAATTTAATGAGCAGTGCATGGGAAATAGCAAAATAACACACATCCTCTTACACAAAACTAAAAAAAATATAGAAAATGTATCTAAAGAGACAAGTAATGCTTTTGTTATGAACATAAAAACGTAGCATAATATAACACACCCTTTCATAGTCATTTTTATGTTAAGTTATCATGGCAAATTAGTTATTTATATACAGGACACCAAAAGGCACCCTACAGTGATATTGACCCATGGGTCTTTTAGTAAAAACATTAAGAAAAATCTATGATAAATGAATGAAATGAAATATTAGATATGAGTGTGCATGCAAATGCATTAATGTACATAATAATATAATTAATATAATATAATATAATATAATATAATATAATATAATAGTAGGCAGATGCTTTTATCCAAAACAAAATACATTTAATTTAAAACATAGAATGCAAAGTGTTAATTATTATTATTATCATCATCATTATTGTTATTATATATTTTTATAATTATATATTTTTATATTTTTGTCTATAAATACTACATATTTATAATTATTACTAAACATATAGATTATGTGGATTTTCCTAAGTTGTCTTAAGACAAGAACACATTTTGGTTTTAGGTTTTAGGACAACTTTGATGAAAGGTTTTGATTTCAAATGTTGACTAGTGTATATAAACACATATGCACAATGCATAAACATAATATAATATAATATAATATAATATAATATAATATCAGCCAAATGCATAAATGTAAATAGAATATAATTGGTGTTATATAATATTTACAATGTTGTCAATCAGTTGTTTGGATTTTGATATGTTAGATAGGTTAGTTACACCTTGTGCAGCTATTTCACTTTGCTTGTGGTCTGTAATATTTCTGTTATCTAGCATCCCACACAAATCACATATAATAATATGAAAACCATTTTCACTGTAATTGCATGAAAGAGTGACTTTTCCACAGCACACAATGAGGGCTTTGCAGTAGCACCCCCTACCCTGGTCAAGACAGAGCCAGTTGGTTCTGTGCAGAACTGATTAGGCAGAGTTTTACATTGTGTGTGCTGGCAGGACTGCTGGCCTGAGGCCCAATAAAGCTCTGGAAAATCCATGTTTGGAGGCAGGAGGTGATAGTGGGGTGGGGGCAACACTGAGCCTCTTCTCTGGGCAATCAGGGTGAGCTATAGACTACTGAAAGGATACTGCTTCGCTTGTGTTTTTTGCTCTTTCATTTGGGATGAACCAAAATGCTGGCAGCAACAGTTTCTGTTGCCTTCTTTGATTAAAATTTTTATGGTGCGTTTTGGCCATTGTCTCAAATGATAGGAGCTTTTATATGCAATTAGCACTACTGCATAAGTAGTCCTTTCCAAAATAGCAGCGTGATAACTACTCTGAAGGATAAGCCATGGAAAACACACTCTAACTTTGTTTAGTCAAGAATTTTAGCTGTGAATTATCAGGCAAGTGTTAACTCTTTCTATACTAATTCTAGGCATAAAAACAATCTCAGATAATAACAACGCTGAATTGCAAGTCTTTCAGTAATAATATTTTTGGCAATCATTCTTCACCCTAAATAAGGTCATTTAAGGTGAAGTACCTCCTAAATAAACTAGGTATCAAATATCTGTCATTGCCTCTCTCCAGTTTCATTTTTGGCAAGATAACTGACCAGGCCAGATTCATTTGCTTTGGAAGCAGGTGTTTCTAGTTGAGTTACAAGTCATGGTAACTCTGCAAGGCCGACTCAGAGTAACCAACTTTGTATACGTCCATTGTGGGCAGGATTACTCCACACCACTGCCTGCTCATGTGTCCATAAGCCGCCTTTTGTCGCACAGGAGAGATAGCTTAAAACTGCTTGCGTGAGGATTTTTCTATTACCTCTAGCACAGACTGCTGACACCAACACAACCCTCACCGACCTCCCATACCGCCACTGTCTTAAACAAAACGCTAGCTCAGGGATCTCAACCCCCTAAAATATACCAGGCCTCACATGTCAACTGTTGATCAAAACATACAGTCCCTCCAGATACTATTCATCCATCCTTATGACTCCACCTGCTGTATTAAGTAGCTGTATCATCAAAGCACCTGGTTTATTGCTGCTTTTTGGAGCTTCCAAGACATCATATCCTCAGAAAAACAATCAATCTGGTTTAAAAAAGGGCAGTTCTCTGAGCAACTTACTAAACTTTTTGAGGGGCCCCTTGTTCTGGACTCTAGTCTGCTCAGTGGAACCCTTACCTTTCTGCATTAGAATTGTCCAATCAGAACCCAGACCTCAAACCATCAGGGTGATCTGTAGATCGGTGCGTGGACTCCTCACACCTAAAGTGGCTGAACAAAATGAGTACATTTGATGAAAAAGTACTTTTTTCATTCTGGGATGAATATTGAATACGTGGTGAATGTTTAATAGTGAATGTTTTCAATATGAGCAAAACCTTAAAGAACTCTATGGGGTTAAATGTGACTTAGGGTTTTTGTACAATCTAGTTAAACCATGTTAACCACAATTTAACCATGGTTTTGCTACACTAACCATAGTGTAACTATGGTATTTGTTGTAAAATTGTGGTTATACAAATGGTAGTCAATACGCCAAAAAACCATGGTTACTACACTTTTACATTATAAAACCATGGCTAATTTTCGTAAGGAATTCTTCTAGCAGTTTGAAAAGTGATTATTCTTTCAATCGCACAAACCTTAAGTCAGCATATAAGTTATTGTGCTGAAGTTAGTATCCTTTCCAAAGAGGCATTTAACTGACTTTTAGCTTTTAAGCAGATGTTGTCTCGTTGAATGTGGTATCAGTTCTCGAAAACTCAAAGTGCAACTTCATTCTTGCCAGGCATGTTTAGCAGAAATGGAACTACAGCGCCATCTTGTGGCGGAAGGACTGTTCTTCTCTTTACATGAGAAAGGACAAGATGTTCCGGAATTTCTGCAGCCTGTTTTTTTTTTTTAGTTACGCACCGACAGACGTTGTCATGTCATCGTTTTGATAAATCTATATTTCATAATGCAATATAAATTTTAACAGCGTTCATGATAAATCTCATATATAGAATTGGGTCAACTGTGCATGCTTTATGTGAAATTGGAAGTAAAAACATATTGTAAAATAGAAAAGCTGGGTAAGAATTTTTAATTGTAATTACATTTTAACCAAGAGTAGAAAGGGTTAACATTTAAAGAAAAAAATTGTCTGAAATAACACTCACTACTGCAAATGATCCTTGATTCAGATGTACAAATAAAGGACGAAGAATTCAAAGTGTTGTTTAGAGACAGTTTATTAGAAATATGTAGACAAAAACCTCACTGTGTTTAACAAACTGAAATTTATAAACCTGAATTGACAGGTCACAACATTGTTTTCATCTTTTAGTCACACCTGCATTGATATTAAGAGTGCAACACACACATTGGTCATCTATTGATAAGTTAACCTTTGTTCTGTACAGCGGTGAGGCATATGCTTTTTTTAATCACTTCTCTTTACATATATGGAAGAAACCAGTGTACAATTGCCTGCTACACGTCTAAGTGTGATACAAAACAACAAATACTAACTGCCAACCTGAAATCATTTCATAAAGCAGCGTGTACAGACAGGACTATGTACTTTGAACATGTTGGATTAACACAAACCTATCTGAAGGGCAAAACTGCAGCTAAAACACATAAAACAGGGGTTTACCAATGAATCAGTGCAAGGGCTTTGAATATGCCATTCTAATTTCAAATGCAGCACTACTGAAAATCAAATGTCTTGGCTAGCATTTGCAATGAAGCAGCATGTGCCAATGCTTCCTTCGCTCACACACAAGGAAATCGGAACCTCAACACCAACAAACAAAAGAATAGAATTAAATCAAATTTAGTTTGAATGAGAGGGAGAAGGCAGAATATGTCGATAAAGTCATTCATGTCCTTTTTTCCATTACTACAAATTACAATGTATACGTTACATGATGCAATAACCCCACTGACATTGAGGAAAAATTGAGTAAATGGACCATAAATGGTGTCCACAATACATCATTGAGAGCTCGTAATTGTCCATGCAGAACAGAAAAGTAAAGAGTGTATTGTTGAGGGGCTGATGTTGCCATCAACACAACAGTAAAAATTCATCCCTTGTGACTTTCTGCAGAAAGACCTTGAAAAAGTTTCAAAAACGATGCAGTTTTTAAATGGCTACCAACTCAAACTTAGTCTCTCTCTTCATTTAAGTGTTAAGTGAAAATTCTTGCTCTCTTCTGCATGAGTTTGCTCTTCCTTTACTCAAGGTCTGGCATTTCTGGGGGGAAAAAATGTACAGTACATAAATTAAAGGATAAATAAATGTTTTAATATTTTAATTACATTATTTTTTTTTAAACAAATAAACGGGTCAATGTTTTTTTTAAAGAATACTGTTCATTAATACCATATAAAATTATAACAGCTAACATATATATTGTTCATATGTACTGATTTTCAAAATAATACAATGAACAAACAAACATCACACAGAGGAGGACAGATAATTTAAGAAAACGTACTTTCATCATCACTATCTGCAGACACCTCCTGGAATGAGATAAAAAACATTTTAGCATAGCATTTATCAGTCTATTAACTAATAAATAACTAATGAATAAAAAAAATTTAGTTAAATAATGGGATGCCTAATGAGCTGATAATATGGCAAAAATAACTATAATCTTTTGGCCAATTTAACAACATTATTCTCTCACATCATCTGCACCATCCACATCTGGTAGGTCATCTTCCCCACCCATGCTGTTCATCATCTTTAAGAAAAAAATTAAATAAAAACAATTGAGTATTATTTATTTTCCTTTTACAAAATTCTAAGAATATCTATATTATTAATAGTAATATATATAGACACAAACCTCTGAAAAACGGTCAAAACTGGACAAGTCTTCATCGGAGTCATCCTCCCAGTCCTTCCAGTTATTGAAGTCAACACTGAGCCAATTAAGCTGTACATTGAGAAACATTACTTAACATGTTATCTGATTACTAAATGAAGTTACGTTTGAATAATTTAAACAGAACAAACACTGACCTTTGCTTTTTCTTTTGTTAACCTTGGCCAAGACCTGCCAGGTTCTGCTTTTCTTAGACAGCAAAACACAGACCTGTCTGTGCGTTTGTGTTTAGACTCCTGTAAAAGAGTAACAGCGTTCTCTGTAACGCACAGTAATAAATGAGCCATGCAGATGCCATGAGCTCTTACAACCTGAATTAGAACAGAAACCATCAGGTGGTGCACTTACATTTGGGTCAATGGACTCAAATAGTTCTACTTCATTATGGTGTGTCATGTTATCTGTTCCTCCAACACAACTAAAGCAAGAAATATAGCATATTACAATTCAGAAAGAACTACTATAGTTCTATATTGCATTTTAAGAGTCAAGCATTAACATTATAGCATCAAACACTTCAATAATGCACATATTAAACATTAGTTCATGGCAGTACACTGAATAATTATATTTTGCAATGACAATTTAATAACGACTGACTTTTGCAGCAGAGTATAAACACATTTTTAACAATGATTGAAATAAAATGTACCTGAAGTCAAGCTTTGTTTTGTCAAATTTAACTTGGACATCTTTGCTGTCTTCTATACAGAATTCAATGAAGACAGCCTCCCGTCTGTCATACCACTTGGCAGTTGCTGGCTGCCTGCAAAACGAATGGAATGAAAATATTAAAAACATCTGGAATTAAAATATATTTGAAAAAAAAAAAAAAAACATGCAGAACTTGAAATAAAATGTACCTGAAGTCAAGCTTTGTTTTGTCAAATTTAACTTGGACATCTTTGCTGTCTTCTATACAGAATTCAATGAAGACAGCCTCCCGTCTGTCATCCCACTTGGCAGTTGCTGGCTGCCTGCAAAACGAATGGAATGAAAATATTAAAAACATCTGGAATTAAAATATATTTGAAAAAAAAAAAAAAAAACATGCAGAACTTCAATAAAAGATCAAACTAGACTTCAATATGACATATAAATAAATGCATTTAGTTATAATGGGGTACATACATGGCGAACTAAGCAACCAGCTACGTGCATTTGTTAAAAGGCAAACTCCACACTAAAAGTGCAGCTCTAAATTAAGATGTGCGAGCTGGAGGCCTTGGCGGGGATGGAGCAACAATGACGTTACCGTGGCAACCAGTTTGTATCGATTGGCAGGTTCATGCATGGCCTCTTAGCAATCTACTTAGGGCTTCACCACTATAATAATCACAAGGGCAGAACCAAGCCCTAGCAATAAGGAAGTGATTGAGTAATAATTAATATTCAATCTTGTACTGCATTTTAAATGCATGACCTCTGGCTAAGGATTGTAGGGATAGGCTAGCAGTAGCCACAAGCCCCAACATACTTGACTACTAGTGTAATACCTGTCACACCTAGGACATAAACTACCTTCAAAAGTTCGGTAAGATATTAATGTTTTTGAAAGGAGTCTCTTATGCTCACCAAGGCTACATTTATTTGATCAAAAGTACAGTAAAACAGTAATATTGTGAAATATTATTAGTATTTAAAAAAACTGTTTTCTATTTTATTTTTATTTTTTTAAATGCAATTTATTCCTGTGATGGCAAAGCTGATTTTTCAGCAGCCATTACTCCTGTCTTCAGTGTCACATGATTATACAGATATCATTCTAATATTCCGATTTGCTGTTCAAGCATTTCTTATTATTATTTGTGTTGGAAAAAAAGCTGTGCTGCTTGTGGAAAACGTTATGCATTTTATGCAGAATTCTTTGATGAATACAAAATTAAAATTATTTGAAATATCTATTAGAACATTATGTCTTTACAGTCACTTTCTATCAGTTTCATGCATCCTTGCGCAATAAAGTGATTCATTAAAAAAATAATATTTTAGATCCAAAACTTTTGAATGTAATGTATATTTCCTGCAAATAAGTGCAATTTAACTTAAGGAGAGATAAATGGTGGTTAATTTAATCATACACCAATTAATATGTCAAGCTGTTGCAATGCATGTTTTGTTTAGACTTGCTGTATTATTGGCCATGTTGAAATTCTAATCATCATGATTAATTCCTGCTGCAATCTTAAACCAAGTTACATCAGCAAATTTAAGTTGGACTAAAATGGTCTCTCTGGCTAGCCAAGCTGATGCTCAGGTGGTTTATCCTGAAGGCTGGGTGGTCACCCAGTATGTTGAACATTACCCCAAACCCTTTTTAAAACCATCCAACATACCAGCCTGATTAGGCCTGGACAGCAAACGAAGACTCTTCAGCTGAACAACTTGGCCACCAGCTTGGAAGACTAGCATAACCAGGTTTTAAGACCACCTTAAACCAGCAAACCAACTTAGGCTGGATTAAGCATGTGTATTTATTTTTCCAGCAGGGAACACCCTGCATATCCTATAGGCTTAATCAAGGTCGTAAATATTGCTAGTACATTTTACGGTAATGCAGATGAAAGCTTAAATAAAAAGAATCATGCAAGTTAATAGTAAACTGAGCAGCAGCTCTGATGTTAGCTGTGCAGTAACTACAGGCCTAAACTATCTAACTAGCTAACGTTCGCTAAGTTCTGCTGTGATAACCATATGCGCTATTTTCACCACCGATTTCGATTTTTTCTATACAATTTGAAACGGTCTTCCCGAGAATGACTAGTATTCTCCTTAACGTCCATGTCTAATAGCTGTATGTGAGAAAATCTGTTTGCCTGATAGAGGTTATGAACACACTTGCTAACTAGCTAATAAGTTAGTGCATCCTTATCACTGCCGGGCAAACTCACATGTCGATATCTTCTTTCAGTTTTCACCAAAATCTGCGTTGCCACTCACGTCCTCTCGCCTGCGGTAGTGTTTGGAAATTGTGCTGTCAGATCAAAGCGAATGCATAAAGTCGGAAGCTAGCTGTTTATGCTCCGCTCTGTCAACCTGCACAGGATCCGCGCGTGTCTACTCACTGGCGCCGCGCGCAATGACGCATCATCTCAACGTTTCTAGCGACTTCTGCTGCGCGCTCCGCGCCATGCGCGCGCCCTGGGCAAACGCGTCTCCATAGTAACGCAAACCTCGCTCCGCCTCGACTGTTGTAGGACGTCAGCTAATACAGGAATCATACGCATTTATAATAGGATATGTAATAAGCATTTTTTCTTTTATAAAAACAAAGAAGAGAGGTCTAGAGTTTGAATATTTGCATTTGTGGATGTGAAATTTTGCAAGAAGCAAAATCAGATTCACTACATAAAACTGTTTCCTTTTAGATTGTTCATACTCAATAAAACCCAATACTACGTCCTTCCAAAACAGAATACATTCATTATAAATGTTACTCCTAATGAAACTTAAAACATCTTGCCAAAATTTCTTTGTAAATGGACAGTTCCAAAAGAGATGAACAACAGTTTCAACAGAGTCATCACAAAAAAATCCAGTTGTCTAAGAACAAAAAAGCCTTAAAAACTTTATCTATCTGTAACTCTTTTCCTATCTTTAATGACATGTAAATCTCAATTTTATTCTTTCAGTTTGTAATGTATTAACAACCCCCTTTTCCTTGTTTTTTCCTGTTCTTTTTTGTTTGTTTGTTTCTACTTTATTTTTTGTTATTATTGTTTGTCATTTTTATGTTAATGGTTGTATTATTCTATGTGTACTATTCTTGATTTTTGAGCATTAATTAAAAAAAAAAAGAGCATTTTTTCTTGTATTATCTTTTCTTTTCGTTACTTTTCTCTTATCTAGAGTCAAAATTAAACTTTATTGTCAAGTTTCTCAACAATTACAATATGGCCAAAGCGTAGTACTGAAAATAAATAAGGCGAAGCAAAGAAATACATTTATTGATTGAAGACAAAAGGAAGAAATAATAATAATAATAAATGGCAGTAATGTTAAAGTGATAATTGCAAATGATATATTTCAATCTATCTATCTATCTATCTATCTATCTATCTATAGTATTTATATTGGCGTATATATATACATCTATAAGTATTTTATTGGCGTGATGATTTGCACACAATATTGCCAAAGCATCAATACACAAAAAGTGTCATCAAAATAAATTCAAATAAATAATAATAATAATAATAATAATAATAGACAGCAAAGTTAATAAAGTGATAATTGCAAATTCTTATCAATTTAAAATATCTATCTCTCTCGTTAATATATACAGACGGGGTTAATAAGAAAAATACAGTCTATGGAAAAAACACAAAAGTCAGACAAGATGTTTGATGATGTGTTCTTAAAAGAGCGCCACACAGTGGTCACATCCCGTAATCTCTAATCCGGCTCAGCCAACAGGCTAGAATGACGAACTTCCTGCCTACATTATCTTGTTTTCAGGGGATTTTTCACTGTAATTACTAAAAGCAAACTACGTGATAACGAAATATGACATAGAGACGCCGAGTTAGTGTCGCGAAGGAGCTCAAGGCGAAACAGTTTCGTCGTGACAGTCAACGATGTTCTTTGTATGCTTGTTGTCTTCCTGTGGCCAAGGACGGGGAATTGGAAAACCACAAAGAGACTGAGCTGGTGTGTTGAGCGAGCAAAGTGTCATCCGAATTTAAATAAAATATCCCAAGCATTAATTCGCCAGGATTGTCGTAGTTTTAAGGCACGTTCAATGCCGCGGTCGTCTGTTGACTTCTTCGTCGAGTGGAAGCAGGCATTCTCCAGTTGCAGTAGGTTTCCTTTACATTAATGTCTTCCGGCAAAGTCACTACAGAAGGTGAATTCATTTATTACACGAGCACAATAGGCTTCATCCCAATGTGTTTTTACATTATTCTTATTCTTATTTAGCAAATGCTTAGGTTAAGGCAGACTGCCATCCTTTTCTTCATCTGTCAGGTTGCTGGACAATCCGCAAAATAAACAATGTCTTGATCTAACTTGTATATTTATTTTCTCTAAAACAGGGAAATAGGCCTGTTACTGCAATTAATGAGAATTTATGGGATCACAAGGTAATTTAGCTTCAATAATGTAATCACTGCAAGCATCAAGTGACATTCATGAGCAGGTAGAGCAACACAGAACGATCCTTTGTTTATACAGTGAACACATTTCAGAGCAGCTGATGTGATTCTGCACAGCTGCCTGTAGGTGTTGAACGAGCAATACTCCGCACAGCCTATTCATGCAAGAAACTTCATTGTCTAGAATATTCCACCCTTCTGCTGCACAGCCACAAATCGATTGGATTGTGGAAGGATAAATGATATTATGATGATTAAACCTAATAATATAATCCTTTTTTATAAGAGATTAAGCGCAAAGTAAGATCTGGCTGATAAGTATTTGCATGCCACCCTGCAGCTCTTGTCAGGTGTGAAGTATTGTGAATTTATGCAGGGTTGACTCATTACACGTGTATTATTCATCATATGTTTCTCCTGACAAGAAAAGGGTGAATTGATAACAAGCGCAAGCTAATATTTAATCTCAAAAATTGTAATAAGGTAATAGGTTTACCATTACTGTAATTGGTTAGTTAATATGACACCAATCAGTCACAGCAGTGTCCTGTAGTGTGACATGCTATATTTAATCTAAAACTAGTTTAATCAGCATTTTTAATTATTTTTTTGTATAATTACTACCCTGTTCTTAAGACTTCATATTAATTGAGAAACTACATAAAATGATTTAAAAATGAATAAGTAGAAACAAAATAAATGTAGATGGATATGACAAATATTAGATTTTTAAAAAATGTCATTTATATTTTTTAACTATAATTATATACTACCAGTCAAAAGTTTAAAATAAAGTAAAATAAGTATAATAACTGTTTTCTATTTTAATATATATTGAAATGTAATATTCCTGTGATTTAAAAGCTGAATTTTTTTCATCATTACTCAAGTCACATTCTAATATTCTGATTTGCTGCTTAAAAAACATTTATTATTATTATTATTATTTTGAAAACAGCTGAGTAGAATTTTTTCAGGTTTCTTTGATGAATAGAAAGTTCAGAAGAACAGCATTTAACTGAAAGAAATCTTTTGTAACATTATAAATGTCTTTATCAACACTTTTGATCAATTTAAACTAACCTTGCTAATTTCTATCTTTTATTTTAGATAAATGCTGATTTGATTCTTTCTATTCATCAAAGAATCCTGAAAAAATTTACTCAACTGTTTTAAATATTGATAATAAAAAAAAAAGTTTCTTGAACCGTAAATCAGCATATTAGAATGAGTCCTGAAGGATCATGTGACACTGAAGACTGGAGTAATGATGCTGAAAATTTAGCTTTGATCACAGAAATAAATTACATATTAAAGTACACTCAAATAGAAATGAGTTATTTTAAATAGTAAAAATATTTCACAATATAACTGCTTTTGCTGTATCTTGGATCAAATAAATGGGACCTTGGTGAGCAAAAAAGAATTCTTTAAAAAAACATTAAAAATCTTACTGTTCAAAAACTTTTGACTGGTAGTGTATATGATTATTATTATATATTTATTTAGCTATATATAATATATATAATTTTCTTTGTATAATTATTATGCTGTTCTTAAGACTGCATAAAACTATTTAAAAAGATTTTAAAAAGCTAAATGTATTTATTTATTTAAAATGGTAAAAATCTGAGGAAATAATCAGTCACCTAAAATATACACTTTTCTTCAAAAAAAGATAGATCGATAGATAGATAGATAAATAAATTGATTGATTGATAGATAGACAGATTTAGATGATATATCATTGTTTTTAATAAAAAATATTTTATTTACCTTTTACACTCTTGTGTGTTTTTAACTGAAAATACTGAAAAAAATTCAAGTAACTAATAATTTTATTTTTATTTTTTGGTTTGGTATAGTGTCAAATGTAGCATATTTACCACAAGAAAATAAGCAAAATACTAAGTTATTGCACCCTTTTTAATGTTCATGGTGGCCTCATGTTGACTCTTGCAAACGGATCTCTTTTTCCTCACAGTTTCATCTGATGAGATGAGCGTGCGAGCGGGGCAGGGCAGTGACGAGGTGCTGGTGTCGCAGGCGGTGTGGGATTACCTTGCAGCCGCAGGACGACCCTGGTTGGTCGACTTCGAGGACAAGCAGGGACTGAGTGCGGACATCATCCGGCGCGGGGAGCGTGGCGGCTGCTGTGCCGTGCGGCTCTCCCCGGTGGAGGGCAGCAGCAGGGCCAGAACTGGAATGATGGAGGGGCGGGTTTCTCCTGTTACACGGAAAGCTTTCATAGACTTATGCCGTTGTGCCCGGAAAGAGATGACCAAACAAGAAGCAGCTCCTAAAAGGAAACGTTCCCTGTTACCATGCATGACGGCAATGGAACCCGACGGGGAAGGGAGCTTGTTGCCTCCGCCTCCTCAACCACGGCGCTCGCAGAGGCAACAGCAGAAATACAGGAAAAATGCAGACATGGACACCTGTGTGGTTTTACCCATGCAACATGAGGCCGCAGCAAGGACCGGTGCCGAATTAGCCATCGCTCGTGAAGAAGAGAGCACCGTTTGCTCTATCTGCATGGGTGAAATGGTGGAAAAGACAACTCTGGACAAGTGTGGCCACTCGTTCTGTCGGTCCTGCTTAGAACAGGCATTTCAAGTCAAAAAAGCGTGTCCTGTGTGCAGGCTGGTATATGGGCAGCTTATCGGTAACCAACCGGCCAATGGGACCATGATGGTTGAAAGAGACCCAGACCTGGAGTTGCCTGGCCATGAAGGTTATGGCTGCATATGCATTATTTACAGTTTCCCTCCCGGTTTGCAAGCGGTAAGTACTGCTTACAGGCAGATAACAGCAGCGTGTTTTGCATTCAGATAACCACAGACCAGCTTTCATTATATACCGTATAAAAATTCCACACGGAATCTATAATCACACACTGTTATGTTTTAAAATTCTTTCAGCAAGAGCATCCAAACCCTGGGGTGAGGTATCCAGGCACAGACCGAGTGGCATATCTGCCAGACAGCCCTGAGGGAAACCGTGTCCTCCGCATGCTGCGGCGGGCCTTTGAGCAGCGCCTCATCTTCACCATAGGCACCTCCATGACCACCGGCATGCATAATGTTATTACCTGGAATGATATCCACCACAAGACCTCCATATGGGGCGGACCACGATGGTATGCAGTTTAATAGTTGCTTGCTTAATTATATCTGGGGAATCAGTGATACCACAGGCATCTCTTCCCTGGAATTGCTTTTTGACTTGAACATAAAACTTAAAAATTTAAAGCCGTTGGTTTGGGTGAGAGTCAAAATTTGGAGTTATCCCATTACATTAATGCCAAGTTCTTTCATGAAACTCTAGGTGGCACTGGCTGATGGGTTCTTAACGTAACTGATGATATTTACAGCGTTAAATGACTTGGCACAGACTGATTGGTTCTTGTTGCATATGCAGCCAATGAACTTACTGCTTTACATTTAAATGACTGGTTAGCATCCACTTGAGAATTTTGCAGCACGCATTCAGAGTTCCTCTGAAACCCTTCACCTTCCCCAGCTCCACCTGTATAGATCTGCTACGGGTTATTTTATATGCTATTTGTGCAGCAGCAGTGTGTCTTAAATACTCACAGCACCGTATCACCGTATGTAGTAGCAGTTCCTGTACTTGCTTGCAGCAGGAGCAGCAGTAATCTACAGCAATAACCAACAGCAGCAGCAGCAGCGTAGAAGATCTATTCCGCCAAGACCAAATACATAAACATTGTCATAACCATCATTACCATGCTAAAATCTTCAGAGAGTTGTCATGATAGAAATACAGTAAAAACAGTAATATTGTGAAATATAATTACAATTTGAGATATCTGTTTTGTATTTGAATGCATTTTAAAATGTCATTTATTGCTTTGATGGCAAAGCTGAATTTTCAGCAGTGTCACATGATGCTTCAGAAATCATTCAATTTGTTGCTCAAGAAACATTTCTTATCAGTATTGAAAACGGTTGTGCTGCTTAATATTTTTGTGGAAGCCATTTTTATTGATGGAATAGAAAGTTCAAAAGAACAGCATTTATTTGAAATAGAAATTTATAGTACAGCCACTTTTGATCAATTTAATGCATCCTTGCTGAAAAAAAAAATTTATTTTACTGACCCAAAACTTTTCGTATCGTATACTCATACATTATTCTATGCATTTATTTAATACCTTTTAATATGAAAAGGCCAAAGAAACATTTCGCTGAACTTCAACTTTCGCTTTAACTTAATATTGCTTTTTTTTCAGCTTTGGTTATCCAGATCCTACATACCTTGTTCGGGTGACAGAGGAACTGCGAGAGAAAGGAATAACAGCTGATTGATTTGTGTCGAGCACTTGAGAAGCTTCAAAAGGATGGCAAACGTGTGCGCTTGACCACAGTCTCTTCACAAACACACTGTGTCGAGTCAAGCCACAGTCATCTGCTGCAGCATTGATTTGGTCAGGACGCTGTTTCACAATGTTTCATTTCAGTCTTTATGTTTAGCTTTGTTCTTTAGTTTACTTGCGTGAAGGCAGTGTGTTTCACATACACTATTTTCTTTGGTACAAACCTGGGGTGCACTTCACTGAGACGGACTGTTCAGTGTACTCAGCTGAGTTTAAGATACCCACTGGACTGCTAAAATGTGAATGTCATGAAGGTGTACACGATTCCTCATCTACAGTACAAACCTCCTCTTCCCTGTTTCAGGTTAGAATCACTAGGCTGCTGGCCTCCCTCTTCTAACTCAGTTTGTTCCATCCAAACTATCCTTTAGAACAGCTGATGGTAACATCTGGATGGAGACAAATGGCATAGCACAGTTAAATGGGTACAGCTGGGACAATCCCATACAACCTTTATTTCTAGTAATCAGCACTAAGAGGCACTTTGCAATGGAGGTAATCTTTTTATTATGAGAATTTAAAGTGGATTCTGCCTGATCTTCCAGAGTGCAGGATCTAGAGGTTATTTGTGGGCCTTTCTAATTATAAGGTCCTAGTAAAAGAGATGCAAGTCGATTTCAGTTTGTCTTAGCTTTCATCACTTATAACGTTCGTTTTTGTCGTTCATTTCAATATGATGTGCATAAAAAGTTCTATTTTTTGCTTTGTTTGTTAGGTTCCATTTTCCCTAGTTTGTATTGTTAGGCTGAGTTAAAACTTCTGTCACATATATATAAAATGATGTCAAAACGAAAGGGCGTTTAAACCACTTAAACCAAACTAAAACGTAATAGCTCCAAACTTTGCGGTAACCATTGTGTTTATGCCTCAGACTTGGAGCAAAGCCTAGCACTCAGTTTATTTTGAATAATCAGCAGATTTGTCCATACAAAATTTGCTGAAGTAGAAAATAATTCAGTGACACAGCAAATGACTCACAAAAATACGTTCAGGTCACATTTAACCCCAAAATCAAAAAGAAACAAAAGAGAAATTATATTTTGCATGGTGTCATTTATTATAAATGTTATTTTTAGCTATTTAAAATGAAATGCAATTATTTAAATTAAGTCTTTAATTTGTGCTAAAAAATAAAAAAAACAAGTGCATTACTGTTTTACTGTAATGTGTTATAGTAATGAAAATTATAATTGAGAATAACAGATCTAACAAAAAAATTATTGAAATATGGAGGAAAATTTATCCCAATTGAATCATGAAAATATTATCAGAAAATAATGTTACATTGAGAAAAAAAATCTTAATACAATCTTAATGCAAAACCCACAAAATGACTTTCTTTGAGCCAAATGTATTTACTTTATTTTCTTTTGATTTTGGTGTGAGATATGACCTAGGTTTTGTGAGATTCATCCAGATATCTTATATGTTAATATATGCTAGGCTGCTGTCGCTGTTGTATTTCTCTCATTGAAATGTTATTGTGCCTTCTGCTAAAGGTCACAGCCTGTTATAACTAACGGTACTCATTACTTGTTGGTATTGGTTCAACTGTGTTTGATCAATATGAAGCATTAACCTTATAGCAGTCTTTCAGCTTAACGCAAAATGCATCATAATTTAGAAAGCGTTGATCAGGTCTCAAATTGTTTTGCGCAAACCAAAACATTTACTTTGTGTTATGTTTTTTTGTGTGTTTTTAGAGGTTGCTTATGTTTTACAGTATCAGATTTGAGTTTTGTTTTGTTACCATATTCTCTTACTCTCACTTTTATGTTATGAAGGACCAATTCAATAAGGATTTGTAGGACTTAAGTGTTACTGTCATGCAAAATTCTATGCACTTAAAAATCAGATTTATGAAATAGACCTCTTCAGATGACTTGATTGTTCAAATGAAATAATTTGCTTTTATAGTTGTGTTGATTTGTATTACATATTGAATTGTATGCTACAATTAAAATGTGCTTTACATTTTCATACTTGAATAAAGGGATTCTGTTCTGTTACACTGTGTTGGGTTTTTATCAAGTTCAACTTCTCAAGGTAGTCTGCATATCTCTGTAAATGGCAATATGACAGTGTTCTGTAAATATGAACTAGCTACGACCTGCCAGGAATTGCAGCTGTCATGCTTGTCAGAAAAAAATGCATTTTTCTCAGAATGAACTATACTGTAAAATTACGATTTGAGCATGTTTTACAACAAACTCCCTAAGAAAACCTTGATATTAGTAATAATTGCTAACTAACGGGATTTGTTGTGCTGGGAAAGCAAGCCATTATCAGAAGAATAATACAAATTGTAACGGTATTACATAGAAATTTATTCAGTACAATTTCTTTTGCAAGGGTTTGATATCTTTGTATATTCTGTTTTATATTTTTTCTTCATTAAATTTGTCTGTAAAGCTCAAATGATGGGTTCCTATTGTGACAACATGCCCCACTATTGTTGTTGCATATTATTACAAAGTATGCAAAAGCAAAGTATATTTCTTCTGGGTAATAATGATGGAATTGGTTCAATTAAGTATGTTTATGTACAGATTTTTTTTTAAATGTAAATTTATGAACCGAAATCTGGAGCAGAAACGGCACTGCAGCTAAAAACAGTTCGGTGCGCTGCTCTGAGATGCTCAACAGAGGGCGCTACTTCACCACTTTTATAAACTCGACTAAAGAGTAAACGCGTTGTGTATTTTATCATGAATTCTCATTCTGAAAATTAATATCTTAACAGTATTGTGCTAACATATTAATCTCCACCCTGGTAAAGGTTTTAAATTATTTAACACGAATAGCAATTCTGCCTTCCTACCAGCCAGATTTCAAACAAAGGCCCATTTCCATCGTCGGCATCAGGATCCACAGGTATCTCTGCTTCCATCATCTGGAATGACACTCAGAACAGTAAATAGCATGTAGTAAACATACCATACCACACTATAATAATTAATATTAATCTCTGCAGCCAATAAACCATTCCACAGATCACCTAGAGGGACAACACGTTGGTAAATATGTATTTAATGCAGTCCGGGTCATATTATCTTTCACCTTGCATTGTTTTGCTCATGGTTTCTGAGAAAGAGGAGATGCTACGCAACCTGTCCATGTACGAATTCCTCTAATTTGGCCAGCTTTTACAAAACGACAGATGACTTTGTGCAAGTAATTAGAGATTAATCGGACACAGTTTTTGACGTCAAAAGACAACAAAAAAGATACAAGTACTTTCCATTCCATAATAAGCCATTTTATTTATCACATCAGTCTTAAGGCTAACACATTAAATTGTCTGCACCCAATATTTTTAATACTTGAGGGGGATTTTGGCAGAAATGCAATGATAAAAGCACCGTGCTGTAAATTGGAAAACCCGTGTTGTAATGTGACTAAGGGCATTTCCTCTGATTATGCCAGTGAGCCCTTGAGCAATGCACTGAATCCCCATCTGCTCTACAGTCTACAATAGTACAATAGTGCCCTGACCGCTCTCTGCATCTGCGTGTTAGATAAGAGTATGGAAACAGCACTTGGCACGGGTAACCAAGTACTCTTGTCTCTGCTAAATGTTAGGTGATCTACTGCATATTTTTTTAGTTTAACTGCTGAAATGTCAGCATAATATTATAGTGGGGTATGTTTAGATTATTTAGATAATATATTTGGTTATTTATTTGTCCCAGCATATGTTTTTTTTTAAATTTCAATAAAAATGATATACTTTAAAAATGCCTTAATTAATTTGAAAAAGAATATATTAATTCATTTATTTATTTGAATAAAAATAATAACAAAAAGACAGCTTCTCTGGTGCACAGAGAATGAAATATACACTACCATATATATACCATATATAATATACCATATGTGACATAAATTCCTGAGTGTTGTAAGTCCCTCTTGCCATATAATGCACTGAAAAAAATGTTTCATTCATCCAATTAAAAAAAATGTAGGGTAATGATTCACATCTATATTTTTTAACTTGAGCCAATGAAAAATAAACAACTTGCCCATTTTCATTGGCTCAAGTTAAAAAAATATAGATGTGAATCATTACCCTACATTTTTTTTAATTGGATGAATGAATCATTTTTTTCAGTGTGTTAACCATCTTTTGCATTTATTTTAATTTCAAAGTAATTTTAATTTCAGTAATGACTTTAAAGAAAAGGTGTCATACTTTTCCAGACCTTTAATAATCTTGGGATAGTTCATAAGCTCCAACAGTAATACTCAGACTGAACAAGAGCTTTGCATTGCCATGAATGTCATTAGTGGGAGAGATCTGGAGTGGCTCAGGTGTGTGATGCCCATGTGCAGGCTGGGCCATGAGGCTTTGCAGTGGTATGAGCGCCATGCCAAAGTCCAATATTATTTTTGGACATCTGCTGCTCTTCCATATCACGGGATGGCCCATCTGGCTCAGCCAGGCTTTCCTCTCCACAAAAAAATTGTTACTCCTCATGCCAGGAGCACTCTTTGTCTGCCTTGCTCTCTCTATTCTCCCCTCCTTCTATGTCCCTCTATGTCAGGATTGACAGAACTGAATATTTGTGCTGCTTGTTTGCCTGAATAACACGTGTATGGAAAATGATTTTATGTTCGGTATGTTTAAAGATTTCTCATCGGCATCAAGATACCAAGATAAGTAAGACAGGTTGCATACACATCTAGCTCATATTTTCTTTTTGGGTGAGCTGATATTCTGAGATTTATTGTATGCATTTTATAGCCTGTTTTCCAAACAAATATAATTAAAAATATAAATAAACAAATATAAAAAAAAAGAAATAAACAGAAAATGTAGCCTATTGCTAATTTTCTGCCAGAACATTATCCATTAATTTTATAGACATGTTATCTATAAAGGACAATGCAGTGCAGTGCAAAATTCAAAATACAGATTAAACTCTATTAAAAAAATCAATATGGAAAAGAAAATTACTTCATATTAACACAGTACATTGTGCTCTATTTTTACAGATTTTTTTTAGAGTGTGTAATTTAAACAATTATCCTTGATATTTTGAAATTGTGTGTGAAATGGTGCATGAAAACAAGCTGGATTGTGTGTTCTGTGATTTGGTTTGTCTTTGTCGCGTTTATTTCCCTGGGCAATCTCACTCATGTCATTATCCATCTGCCTGCATGAAAGGTTGGGAGTTGCAAAAGGGCAGGGAAACATTGAAATAAAGCCAAAATGCAAATATGGTGAAATATGCAAGTACGAGCATCCCTATTGTATTTTGAAAATATATGAAGAGGAACACCGTAGCTACTAAAATACTCTGGCAGGCAATGTTTGTGTTTCTCGCGCTATTGAACGGCAGCCGCAACAATGCTACTGAATCTACAGCAAGAAACAGCTCGACCAGCTTAAATTACTTTTATGAGTCGGTTCTTTTTAGTAAATCAAAAACTTACTGCGTAACCGGTGCAGTCCAACCAATACCCAAACGAATAACTCTTATGAGTCATTCAAATGAGTTCTTATGAGTAATTCAAAACTATAGAGCTCAACCTAGGCTACTCTAACTGAATCGCCAACAAATGACTCATATGAGCCGTTTTTTAGTGAATCAATGCTGTATATCATGTGTAGTATAAACTAAGTTAAAGACTTTAGTCTTTGCAACTTCAGGGATCTTATCTATGCACAATCAGCTTGTAACACTCCAAAGAGAAAGGAAAACTTGAAATCGCATCATATGACCCCTTTAACACTTTATCCTCTGCTCCCAACCAATGGAATATGTAAATTGTTTTGCTATACTTCTGATCACTGCAAAAGTGTTCTTCCTCAGTATTTATGTCTTGTTTTCTACCAAAAAAAACCTATTGAAAGATATTTGTTCTTGTTTTAAACATAACCTTATTTAATTTTGTTCAACTGATCAGAAAATAAAACTTAATATCTCCATTTTGCATCTCAAATAAATTGATCTTGATTTAATGAATGAAGAAGACATTAAGCAATTTTAGCAATTGATTTAAGAGTCTG